CTCTGCATTCAAATGGGAATATCTTTCCTTTTCTCCTTTGCTTTTTGCTGCTCTTCTTTTCACAGCTATTTGTAAGGCCTCCTCAGGCAGCCATTTTGCTTTTTTGCATTTCTTTTTCTTGGGGATGGTCTTGATTCCTGTCTCCTGTACAATGTCACGAACCTCTGTCCATAGTTCATCAGGCACTCTATCAGATCTAGTCCCTTAAATCTATTTCTCACTTCCACTGTATAATCATAAGGGATTTGATTTAGGTCATACCTGAATGGTCTATTGGTTTTCCCCACTTTTCTTCAATTTAAGTCTGAATTTGGCAATAAGAAGTTCATGATCTGAGCCACAGCCAGCTCCGGGTTTTGTTTTTGCTGACTGTATAGAGCTTCTCCATCTCTGGCTGCAAAGAAAATAATCAATCTGATTTCTATGTTGACCATCTGGTGATGTCCATGTGTAGAGTCTTCTCTTGTGTTGGTGGAAGAGGGTGTTTGCTATGACCAGTGCGTTCTCTTGGCAAAACTCTATTAGCCTTTGCCCTGCTTCATTCTGGCATACCCCAGCTCCAAGGGACAGAAGAAGCTCCTGCACTGGGACCCTTCCAGACCTATGTGTCTCTTCATCTAGCTACTCGTCTGTATGCTTTATTATTTTTTTAATTTTTAAAATTTATTTAGTTATGGCTGTGCTATGTCTTCACTGCTGTGAGGGCTCTTCTCTAGTTGCGACGAGTGGGGGCTACTCGCTAGTTGTAGTGTGCTGGTTTCTCACTACAGTGGCTTCACTTGCCGTGGAGCACAGGGTCTAGGGTGTGTAGGCTTCTGTACTTGCAGCTCCCGGGCTCTAGATCACAGGTTCAGTAGTTGTGGCGCCCAGGCTCAGTTGCTCTGAGGCATGTGGGATCCTCCTGGATCAGAGATTGAACTCATGTTTCTGCCATTGGCAGGTGGATTCTTACTCACACAAAAAAACCTGATGATCATAGGGATTGCAGGCATCTTCAAGCTATTGCATTTTGTAAGGTTTCTTTTATCATTTAAATGAATGTTTCCAAATTCTGCATGCTTACAACAAAGTTTCAGAAGTCCCCAAATGAACCTTCACTCAGCCAGACTTGGTAACTGGTACTGAATTATAAGTAGTGCCTCAGTGTGGGATGGCTGGGTTTCCAGTCATAGTGTTCTAGTCTATATTACAAAAATGTTACATTTTATTTTAGGAAAATCAAATATCCACATGATGGCACTATAACCTACAAAATAAGAGGCTGTCAGTTTATGAAGATCAAGGGCTTCCCAGGTGGCATTAGTGGTAAAAGAATCTGCCTGCCAATGCAGCAGACCAAGAGACCCAGGTTTGATTCCTGGTCAGGAAGATCTCCTGGAGAAGGAAATGGCAACCCTCTCCAGTATGCTTACCTGGAAAAATTCCATGGACAGACGAGCTTGGCGGGCTGTAGTCCATGGGGTGCAAAAGAGTCAGACACAACTTAGTACTTGTCAGTAGCAGCAAGGCCCTGGTAAATTCTAGTTGCTGTTTAGTTGCTAAGTCGTGTCCTACCTTTGTGACCCCATGGTCTGCAGCACACGAGGCTTCCCTATCCCTCACTATCTCCTGAGTTTGCTCAAATTTATGTCCACTGAATCAGTGATGCCACCCAACCATCTTATCCTCTGTCCTCCCCTTCTCTTCCTGCCCTCAATCTTTCCCAGCATCAGGGTCTTTTCTAATGAATTGGCTCTTCTCATCAGGTGGCCAAAGTATTAGAGCTTCAGCTTCAGCATCAGTCCTTCCAATGAATATTCAGGACTGATTTCCTTTAGGATTGACTGGTTTGATCTGGATAAGAAGAACAAAAGCAGGTGAACAGCTATGTAAGAGCCTAATATGAAGATGCAACTGTATTGAGAGCTACTTAATGTGTTACCCATAATATCATTTCTCCCTATTATTGAATTAAGGAATAACTCAGAAGTTATCAGGGAAGCTGCACTGGATAAGACAGATGTCATCATGGAGTTTACATTCTGGCAAGGGAGATGGGCTTTAAATACGTGATGATCCCAAAGAGTTGGTCACTACTTAGCAACTGAACAACAGGGATACAGGCTCTGTCTTGAGTTGTCACTGGAACCGGCTGCAAATTCTTTTCGGCCCCCTCTGACTCATATTTGCATTTGAAGCCCTCTGTCTGATGGATTCTATCTACAAAGAATGTATAGTTTGTTTTTAAAAATTTAGTGATAAACAAGTAGGTGGAGAACAATGTTTTGGGAAGGAGAGTGATCACAATTCCCCATAAATCACTGGAAGCTAAAGATCTATTCTTTCAGCACATGGTCAACCTTGAACAAAACAAAGGTTATGACTTTTCAGGTTTAGCATTCTGGTCTTTTTTCCTTCTCATTTCTTCTAATGGCTCTCTCTCTCTTTTTTTCTGAACTAAAATGAGCTTCATTGATTACTTAAGAATAAGTAACCTGTGCCAGCCTTACCTCAGCACACACAGAAACAGGACTTGGTTAACTTTTCTATTAGCTTTGTAATGTCCCTCAATTTTAACAGGAGGAGGAGACAGGCATCGATTATTGTCCTGGAAGAATTTCAAAGCTCAGCCAATGTGGAAAGGAGGACGTGAACTGGCCAGGTTATTACCTTCTCATCTCTGCTAGCAGACATTTACTGCTGACAGTAGGTCGGAATGGCCATAATCTAACATTGAACAGTTCAGGATTCTCCCCTTCTAGGATAACCGCACTGGGATCCTGCTGCTGCTGCTGCTGCTGCTGCTAACTCACTTCAGTCGTGTCCGACTCTGTGCGACCCCATAGACGGCAGCCCACCAGGCTCCTCCGTCCCTGGGATTCTCCAGGCAAGAGTACTGGAGTGGGTTGCCATTGCCTTCTCCGCACTGGGATCCTACTATTTCTCAAAGCTGCCCTCCTCCACCAGCACTACGTGACTTATACTCTTATTTTCTTTACTCAGCAACTTTTCAAATAGTGTCCTTGACGGCAGTTCTCGGTGTGACCCACTCCTGAGAACCTAAGGTAGGGCGTTGGGTCAACGTTATAACAGGGTTCCTGGTATACAACAGGTGATCATTTCACCGGCCGGGATCGCCCCTATTACTAGAAAACCCCGAGTTTCCAGCTAGACGAAAACGAAACTCTGCCCTCTTCCAGGCGGGGGTTTCGCTTGTTACCAAAAAGCCTTCCTGTCCTCCGTCAAATCACCAAATGGGGACGCCGGGACCCTGACAAGGTCGCCGAGGATCGGCGGCGGGCTGGGCCTCCGGGGCTCATGGCCGGCGGCGGCGGGGTGGTGTGCGTAGGATGCGCTCCCGGGCCTCGCCTGGCAGCTGGGGACAATCCAAAGGGAAGCCACTTCGGCACACACAACGGCAACACCTGGGTTAGCAGTTTCCAATGGACTGACTTCCGGGAGCAGGTGCCACCAGGAAACTTCCGGTTTCTTCTGCACCTCCTCGGAACCCGCCTACAACGCGGCCTTCTTCCCCGCCCAGCCTACTTCCTTCTCCCGGCCCCGCCCCTGGCCCCTCCTCCCCACTTCAGACCCCTCCTCCCCATTTCAGACCCCTCCTCCCAATCCGCCCTCAGGCCCCGCCCCTCACCTCCCCCTCCCCGTTCCATTCAATTGTTGGATTGTCGGCGCTGCACTCCCACCGGCGGCCGGCAGGGGGCGGGGTTCGAGCGTGGATTTCCACGGCGTCCCCTGGGCAGGGACAGGCGCGGAGCGGGGCGGGCGGGTGGACGCGCGGACTCCAGGCCGCGAGCGGGCGGGCGGCTGCGACGCGGTGTTGGGTCGCGCTCGGCGGGGAGGCCGCGGCCGCATCAGCGCTGACGTGGGGCGACGTGGGCCGGCGGCTGTCCCGGTGGGGCTCGTCGTCCCACCTCCTCGCGTCCGTAAGCAGTGACGAGATCCGCTACGTAAATCGCTTCGCTGCGGGTAAGTGGCGCGCCGGCCGGCGGGACCCGCGGGGCCTGAGCCGGCGGCGCCGGAGCGGGGGCGGGGCGGGGCGGAGCGGGTAGCCGGGGGCCGTTTGCCCCGCGCTCCTCAAGGGCTTTTTCCGAGGGGCCGCCGCTCCGGTTCCTGAGAGGGGAGGGCAAGCGGGCGACGCGAATCGGTCGGCTTCGCTCGCTCGGTGGAGCCGTCGCCCCCGATCCTCGCGACCCGAGACAGACCGAGCGGTGCTTCTGGAAGGCACGCCACCTTCCTTCCCCGTGCCCCGCTGGCGCCGGGACCAGCCAGCCCGGCGACCGCGGTCCCGACCGCGGACTCAAAGGGACGAGCGTCCTCGGACATCTTCACCGCTCTCCCCGCCGGACCCGGATCCCTAGTGTGAGCCGCTTCCCTCCCTGCGCGGCTCGAGCAGCGGCGGTCGGCCGGCCAGTGGGTGAGCGATGCCGCCCGGCGGAACCAGCTCGGCCCACACCGCTGGCCCCGTAACCGAGCGGCTCACCCAAGCGGCTTCCGAACACCTCTGGCTTCCCCGCCGCATTCGCCGGGCTCCTGGGAGTGCAGCCGCCCTCCCTGGAAATAAACACAAACCGAGATGCGCAGGGCTGGAAGTCCAAGCTGAAGACTGTGTTAGAAGACAGGAAGGTCGTTTTCTCTGGTTGTTCCCCTGTGGGTACCACATCTTTGGCCTAGTCTCCATGCTGCTTTTGAATAACAAGCTGCTTTCCCCTCATAAGTCACAGTCTTTGAATCTTTGAACTTAAAGGGAACTTTTTCCCACTCAGTTCAGTTCAGTCGCTCAGTCGTGTCCGACTCTTTGCAACCCCATGGACTGCAGCACGCCAGGCTTCCCTGTCCATCACCAACTCCCGGAGCCTACTCAAACTTATGTCCATCGTGTCGGTGATGCCATCCAGCCATCTCATCCTCTGTCCCCTTGTCCTCCGGCCTTCCATCTTTCCCAGCATCAGGGTCTTTTCCAGCGAGTCAGTTCTTCGCGTAAGGTGGCCAAAGTATTGTAGTTTCAGTTTCAGCATCATTCCTAACAATGAATATTCAGGACCGATTTCCTTTAGGATGAACTGCTTGGCTCTCCTTGCAGTCCAGGGGACTCTCAAGAGTCTTCTCCAACACCACAGTTCAAAAGCATCAATTCTTCGGTGCTCAGCTTTCCACTACAGAAAGGCAATCTGCAAACAGTGTGTTTTGGCCCTTTTATAAGAAGTAGTAAAAATACTGATGTCTAAAGAGCTACTTGGTGATCCAGACATAGTTTTTGAGAAGATATTTCAATGGGTTTGATCCTGGATAAGTAAACGTTGAGAGCATTGTCATGTTAAGTGATGGTAATGACACAGACATTTTTGGTGCATCTGTAAAATAGTTAAGAGTAACCTAATGCTTGCGCAGTGACTTGCTCTTCAATCTGGAGTTGCTTTGGTGAGTGTGAAGTTGTAATTACACGGATGTTTTGTGTACACATTTTGTAAGAGTGTATGAATAAATTTTTATTGAATGTGTAAACAAAGAGGAGCGCTTTAGTTTTTCTGTTTCCCTGTTGCCCCAGAAGCTTTCCTGAAATCTGGTGAATTTAACAAATTCCAGATTCCATAGACTAGTTTCCTACTGATGCAAATCATTGTGTGATTAAAATATGAAATCATGTTTAGAATTATGGACATTTTATGAATAGTAGGGAAGAGTTTCAGGTTAACATACAAAAGGAGTCCTGAGTGAATCTTTTATCAGTGTAAACATATATTCCTGATACTGTTTTCTCCACCATCGTGTTCTCTACAAGTTAATATTGGGCCAGTTCAACTGGGGAATGTGCTCAAATGTCTTGGCCTATTTAGATAAACTTTGAAAAATAAAACTGAACAATGCAAACACTTAACAACTGCACCGTTGATGTTTTGACATGCAATCAGTATTGGTCATTAAGTAAATAAACCTGAAATGTCATTGAATACTGTTAACTGTTTCTACTTAATGGGACTGCTGTTGACCCATATAAAAGTCAACTTTGAGAAGAGTTAGGATCCTACGTTGAATACAGTTTCAATATTATCAGTACAGGTATATGCATTGTAAAAATATAGATTTCAGGGGAAGTGTTTCTCATCCATTGTACATATGTAGATAACTTTGAAGAAACTAAGTTATACATTTTAAATAATTTTGTTAATTCCCTTTTAAAGCACACAAAGTATGTAAAATACTTTTTACCATGAGAATTGTACAATAAACAGTGCCCTGTTTTTAAATCTTTCATTCATGGGTTTTCTTTTAATGATGCTATAGGATATCCAGTAGAAAATAAGAATGAAGAGAATAACCTAAGGATGACATTACTGGGGATTTATCTTAATATTACTCATGAAGACAAGTTGAGTCTTACGGTATAATTCAGTTATAGCAAATTTTAAAAATATCTATTTTGCAAATCTCTTGACACCATCCCAGGAGCATTACAGGAAATTACTGGCAAGGTGCATGCAAAACAGTTTTGAAAAGAAGCATGGGCTGGTAAGGTTATTTGGAACTGTTTAAAATAACTGTCTCACTGGTGAGGAAAGATGCTTGCCTCCAAGAAAACCTTACTAGCAACTTTTTGTGAGGCTCTCCTGAAGTCTCTCTCCCCAAATGAGAAGCAAGTTCACGCACACTTTCTGAACAGTGAACAGGCCAATCAAATGTCAAAGTGAAATCCTGCTAAATTTTAACAGTGGGGTTCATGTGATTCTGATATTTTTACTTTTGAGGATTCCTGAAAATAAACTCAGTTTCTTAAAAGTTATCTTAGTGAACATTTTTGTTTTTGTTTAAACTCAGCAGACTTAAAATTAGAACATCCTAACTCAGAATGTCAAATGTTAAGTTTTGTTCACATTCTCAAACAGCTTCAATTTTTTTCGACTGGTAGCACAAAAATTATTTTTTCCACCTAGAAATGCTTAGTAATTTATAGCATAGCATTGATTATCATGAAAGTTTCCAGCTCTGGCATTGGGACAGCTATGTATCATGCATAAAGACACACTTGGGATGCTCTTTCATTTGTTAAAATTATCAGAGGAGTGAAGTTTAACTTATTTAGACTGTGTCTGCACTTGGACACTATGCAAGATAGGACCAAGCTGAGTATCACAACATTGAAATTCATTTCTATAAACTTTAGCTAATTCCAGTGTCTTACCTACTCTTTCCCTGATTTACTAGTTAGTGGTCAGTGCAGTTGTACTTTATATGTAGGTAAGTGTTTTGAAATATACCTAAAGTGCAGCAATGGAGCATGCTGTTGAAAAACCCTACAGTGATTATTAGTCAAACAATAACTTCCCCCAAAGATTGAAAGTTTTGTTTCCTTTCATGAATTGGGGCGCAGCAGGGAAGGGGGCCATGATTACTTGAATTTCATTTTTAAAGAGTTAATATTTCTTAAATAATAATAGGTATCTGAGGTGGCTCTGTGGTAAAGAATCTGCCTGCTAATGCAGGAGACATGGGTTCAGTCCCTGGGTTGAGAAGATCCCCTGGAGGAGGAAATGGCAACCCACTCCAGTATCATTGCCGGGGAAATTCCGTGGAAAGGGGGAGCCTGGCGGCCTGCAGCCCATGGATCACAAAGAGTCTGACACACCTGAGTGAGCATGCATACACATGTAATAGGTATCTGAAGCAATTAAACTGGGTGGTCTTGAATCTGTATTAGAATGTTGCTTGATTTTCTGAGTGATTCATGTTCAAAATAGTGAAGACAGTATTTACAAGTGTATCAAATAATTATTCACAAAAACTATTCCTGACCACTTGTATTTTTACAGAGAAGTGTAAAAATTGCTATATGAAACTTATTCTAATTTTGCTCACAAAGATTACATAAAGTTAAAAGTGGCATGATTTCCTGTTACTACTGTATTTTTTGTTTTTCCTGTACTCATCTTCACCTAAAAATACATAATAATCATAGGCTCATCCCTGTCAACTTTACATATATGGCTTTTGGTAATTGAAGTTGACTCTTGAACAACATGGGGGTTAGAGGTGCCAACCCCTGAATATCCCCATATACTTTTTGACTCCCCTAAAACTTAACTGCTAATAACCTATTATTGACCAGAAACCTCACCAATAACATAAACAGTCAATTGAAATGTATTTTGTATGTTATATGTATTATATACTATATTCTTAAAATAAAGAAACTAGAGAAAAGAAAATGTTATTAAGAAAACCATAAGGAAGAGAAACATTTATAGGACTGTACTGTATTTATCAGTACTATAAATTGACAAGAGGAATCATTTGTCAGTACATCAATACTATCTTAGATGATACAAATCACTGTAGCTGTTATATGTATTCCTAACACTAGACATCAAAAATGAAAAGATAATATGAAAAGAAATTTTGTTTCATTTATAGATATAATGATTCATGCATTGACAGTGGCACAGTAGCCTCGGCTATACACTGATGAGTGAATCCTTATAGAAATTTATGGCATATAATATTACAGTCGTTTA